CAAAACATTTTTACAGCGCATGAAATAAAATGTACATGTAATAGAATTTATTACAAAGCATTATTACTATTATCATAAAGTATTACACCTGCTCATTATGAGTAGATATAAAAACATCAAGTGGACAGAGTACAGGCGCTGCCAGTAGCAGACGCCAGCCCAAAACCGGACAGAATTACCCATTAGACAATGGTCTGCTCCAGCCTCACACCCAAAGAACCAAAAATACATCTCCATACAAATCAAAACATTAACCAATGCTGGAAGGGCATTATATTTGTAATCTCAGAAGTGGAGGTGGAAAAATAAAACAAATTCAACAATTCAAATGTCTTGGACATACAGCTACATCCGATGCCAAATGTACCCCAGAAATTCAATGAAAAAATGAAAATGGCATTAATAGCTATAGACAGTCAGCAATAAAAAGAGTCAAAGCCATGGGTGAAAGTTCAAAGACATCCTAAAAACTTGAGGAGGTAGGATGGGAATTTTCAAAAACCTGAAAGTCATGGTACAGAAAGATAAGATGGCAAAGACTACAAAACACGCACAAAAAACTAGTTTTAACATTATATTCATGTGCCTAGGGCAGATGGGGGCTTTCTCAGGACTACTGTCCTGCTTCAAGACCATCGTTTTGCATCATGTTGCGTAGTTGCCAGTTTTTACTCACGTACGTTCCTGCCCCAGACCTAGGTCTGTTGAGGTTAAAAAACCGGTGGGGGTCAGCATATGTCGGCAAACTTTCACCCATGGTCAAAGCCTGAATAACAGAAGGGTATCCCATAACAGAAACATCTCAACGACAATCAAAATAAAAGTTGAAAATGGCAATGTGTTGTCAGTCCTTTTCTACGGCTACTGTGAATGCTGGGCAGTTACCAAAGACAGGGAAAATAAACTTCAAGCAACAAAAATTTGGGGAGATTGTCCAGAATTTCATGGGAGGAAATGAAATTAAATGAGGAAAGACACGAAAAGACTGAGACAATCTAGTTTTTCAAGAGCCTCCGAGCAGAGAAATGAGTAGCAAGCTACGATCGTCAATATTTGTTCATCGTCAAAAAGGCGTAAACCCTATAGTGTAAAAAAGGCATTTAAGCAAAATTCAACATAAAATACATTTAAAACCTGATGTAAAATCTATTTAAAAAAACAAAAATTTTAACACTGTAAAAAGTTGCCTGTACAGCAAGGTAAAAGATGCAGGAGTTATGCTCGCCCAAAGAAAGGTGAACATCAGACGAGACAAGGCAGGGCAGAAATACTGCTGAGTCATCTTACAGAGAGACAAAAGCTACAGAGAAGAAACAGGGACGGGTCGCTTGAGGATGGTTGGACGGGTTGAGGAAGAGAGGGAGGGGG